ATATATATATATATATATATATATATATATATATATATATATATATATATATATATGTGTGTGTGTGTATTTATATATTTATATATATATGTATATATATATCCGTATGTATATGTATTTGTAATATAAACGGTAGTACATAAATATATACGAAATACTCAAGCTGGTATTGTTGTTTTTCTAGGGGGTTATGATGCACGTTTTTCCAATACAATTATATATAATATATATATGTGTGTGTGTGTGTACACGTGTACACGCGCGCGTGTGTGTATGTGTATGTGTATGTATGTATGTATGTATTTATATGTATATGTATATGTATATGTATATGTATATGTGCGAAATATACGGTAGTACTTATATACATACAAAATACGCACGCTACCATTAGCTTGTTTCTTCTGAAGGCGGCTACAATATGTACATATTTCCATTTTGTTTTTTATAGTAGTGAAATATAAATTATTTTTTTGCCAAAGGCCTGCGGTGGCACGTATATTTCTTTATTTTTTTTGGTACCCTTTCTTGGTTTTATCAGGAAGAAACCCAATTTTAGTTTCCTTCCTCACGAATTAGTTTAAGTTCCTTATTACAAATATTAGTTCGTAAAGCATCAATTCCAAGTGAATACCACGGGGAGGGTCCCTGGCTGGGGCCGACCAGAACTTGTTGAGAAGTCGGAAATATCTCCTTAATTTTTGGACAAAACAAAATGGTCCCCAGCCCCAGCCCCCAGGCCACAGGTGAATATTTCAGAGTGAGAGCGGCCATCAGGCATCAGCTGAAAACTGAAAAGTATGTAATTTTTATATATAGTTTTGTTTTTGTTTTTGAATAATGTATACTACATACGGTACATCGTAAATGCCCGAAAGGCACAAGGTAGCGTGCCAAGTCGAGTCTCCGAGAAGGCCATCTATGAGCCTAAAAAAATAAAAAACCCTACAGTCAAACACAAAAGAAAATCGAAATTCGCTCAGTCATGAGTACGTGATCAGTGTAATCGATTCTGACCGACTGACGTCTTGTTGAGATTCGACGGGGGGGTTTTTTTCGTGTAAAATATTTCAGAAGTCAGAACCTCACATGAACGTAAACGTAAAATGAATTTATGTGCAATTGTGCATAGTCTATTTACAACCTTTTCCGTAAATCGTATTGAAGATGGCACTCGCTGACTCGCGCGGTCACGCCCGTCAACTGCCAACGCCTTCACCCCACCGTCCCCACTAATAATAAGGGGAGAGTTAGGCCTGTTTTTTAAGTTAAGGCCACTCGAGCTTTCAGTTTTTATTACAATTGTTTTATTGGCTATTTCAACTTTACGCAGGCTCAATCAAAGCGCCTAACTACTTTGTTTCGCCTGAGACATTGGGCAATGTCCGCAAAATCCATAGCATTATTTAGCCAATCATAGTACGTTATGTAGGATTTGATATACCTTCGATTATATTTTACATCCAGTCTTCCAGATCATTGCCGGGAAAGTTTAACCGAAATACCTGTTGATTAGACCGAATCACCAAGTAATAATTCGAACTTTTGTTGGAAAACCCCAATAAAAATAAGAAGCCGCTAAAATATTACTAATACCCCCGTATACATTTTACACCTCTGTAGTATTAATAATTATATACTAGAGTTCTACTATGAAATTTTATATAGTAAACTTAAAACACATTTTGCGTGTGCACATCCGGGCCGTGCTGTCAAATAAGGAATATCGCTATCCATCACTTAAAAGCGATTATTAAACAATGACTGGCTGACTTTAAAAGCTCTGTAGTCATGGATTTGTATGAGTGCACGCATTTTACGTTCAAAGCCACAGTAGTAAATGACGAATAAATTTTAGCATTTACACCGTACACGCCTTTTATTTATATGCTTGCATTCCCAAGGAGAAGAGAATAGCTTATTAAAGTATACAGGGACTGTCTCAGCGTATCAAAATCATTTTGTGCAAGCACATAAGATTCATTGGCGTGTTCCGGAAATGGAAAGCTTTCAGATATCTTGGGCGTTTTTATGTTTTTACCTAAACACCCTCGGCAAATGTGTCTAGACTGCCATACTTGCACTTGGCACACTTTAGTACACAATTATACATCGTTCCGCCGAGATTGACACTACAGACTTACTCATACTCACGAGAGTACTTGTGGTAGCCTGTATCTCCGGTGCTACGTACGTAGCTGTACATAGTAACTTGCCCCATTTGAAACGTTTTAAGGTATGTTCGATGCCCGCTTCGTGACATGTGCTATTCCGTAAGTATTTGTAGTATGGCTGCGTGAATATGCTACAGGTGATACTTTGCACTGCATACAATATGCTCTAACCACTTTTTGCTCCTTTCTTTTTTTCCATACAACCCTTTGTGCGAGCCACCTACTTCGCAATTAGTCTCTGCGAACGAACGAAATAGATGTAGCAGTTAATTAATCGTGAGCCGATGTCCAACTTTGTGGCTTTGTAATGATATGATACAGCACAGACCTGTCTTTTGACAACACAGGGGTACGGAAATAGTAGCATAGGATATATATATATATATATAACGCATACGAAAAATTATATATGTATAGGTATGTATGTATGTATATATATGTAAGCATACGAAATATCATATATGTATATGTATGTATGTATGTATATATATATATATATATGTATATGTATATGCGTATATATATATATATATATATGTGTGTGTGTGTGGTGGGTGGGTGGTGTTGTGGGTAGGGTCTGT